TATGCACTGCAGTGTTAGCTAGCTGTAGCTTATGCTTTCAGTACTAGATTCATTCTCTGATCCTTTGATTGGGTAGACAACATGTCAGTTTATGTTGCAAGAGCTCTGATAGGTTGGAGGACGTCCTCCGGAAGTTGTCATAATTACTGTGTAAGTCTATGGAAGGGGGTGAAAACCATGAGCCTCCTAGGTTTTGTATTGAAGTCAATGTACCCAGAGGACGACGGAAACTAGCTGTCCTCCAGCTACACCATGGTGCTACCATAGAGAGTGCTGTTGAGGCTACTGTGTTTTCAATTATTTGGTGACATGAATATATTTAGTATAGTTTTATCTAAAAAGGATAACTTTCACTATTTAAGTTTTTATGAAATTTACTGAGGAGAATGGTACTCCCCTTCCTCCTCTGAGGAGCCTCCACTGATGTGAATGGGACATTTCTGCTGGGATAGAGGAATTATCTGGAATGCTCAACTAGATGATCAGGACAGTCTAAGGTACTATTTGCCCGAAGAGGTGAAGTGTTGCAATGAGCTATACGACTGTACTTCTGATTCTAATTCTCAAGAGGAAAGTTAAAACAGTCAGCCGTGAGGTCACTGAGGAGAACCAACAGTGATAGGGGGATTGTTTGAAAGGTATGTGCACTGGCCAGCAGACCACGATTTCTACTAGCCCGGGTAACATTCAGGTCCTAAATCTGTGGCATGCGATGTTTGTAAAGGCAAAATGTCACTGCTGTGTCAGGCTAGTTTGGCACATTGTCTACTAGCCCAGTCTGAAAAGTATTAGCCTCGGGCTAGCTTAATTTCCATCCATACTGACATGTATAACTGACTTCACAGGTCATTTGATTAGTCATGTACAACAGATGCACTCATGGAACAAAACCATTTGTGTTTTGTATGGGAAAACATTGAGCCCACAAGTCCTTGTTAAGCTGGCTAGCCAGCTGGTTAACGTTAGCTCACCGCTTGTGTAGTCACACTTTTCCACATGGTGACATGCTAGCTAATGTTAGCCTACCACAGTAGGGATATTTAGCTAATGTTTAGCTAACTAGTTTGTGTAGTCAGACTTTTCCCAAGAACCCACGGGTGGTGACATGCAAGCTAGTCCACCAGGGCAGAGATATGTAATGTCAGCTAGTTAGCGCTAATCACTAACATTAGGCACATTCGCATGTCACCCACCACCTGACTACACCATGGTGAGAAACGGTGCAACGTTAACTAGCTAACGTTAGCTAATGTAGCCAACTAGCCAACCAAGGTGCGTAACCAGCTAGCTCACCAGGTGAAATTTAGCTAGCTATATCCCTGCCCTGGTAGGCTAACATTAGCTAGCATGTCACCACGTGAAAAAGTATGACTACAAACCGTGAGCTAACATTAACTAACTGGCTAGCTCATAAATGACTTGTCAATAATAAAAGGTCACAACAGTCATTATGCAAGCCTATGCTGGTTTTCCTTTTACTTGTAAGGAAGGTAGCATGCGTTGTACACGTAACTACAGTCGATGGTTATCTAGCTAATTTTCAAAAGCATCTAGCTAACCACAGATCTTTGGCCTAACCAAAATAGCTTGTTAGCAACTAGCAAACAGGGCTTATTTTATCACACAGCTCCAGCGACGCCTGTCACTTACAGAGGTCAGAAAATGATCAAATGCACGTGTGCTTATCGGAGTACTGGTTACAATCCGATACATAGCACAGAACCATCCTTGCTTCTGATCGATGGAGAGACCTAAGGTTAGCTAGTTAGCTACGAAGGCCAGGGTAATTAAAAACAATTATAGTAATTAAAAAATGCTAAGGTAACTATCTAGGTAATTTGAAAATTGCTAAACAAGAATACACAAGTGAAATAAACTATATCAATTATTTACACGATAAACTAAAAAGGCTATAATATCTACTTGCTAGGTTCCTTGCTACTTGTTGATGAGAGTTTGCATGGAGAAATGTGGAGATTTTTCCCACCCTGTGCCTTGAGTGTTTATGTCAAAGCTTGCGAGTATGACAGCCACATTAGCGGCTAATTAGCATTTCATTTTGGGGGGGGGGGGGGGGGTAATTACAGGTGAATATATTGATAAAAGTTACCTTGTCCGAGAGAGATTTGCGCGGTTATCAAAATGCCACGCCAGACAGACCTTATATGAAGTAGTTCTAAAATCCCCTATGGAAAAACGGACAAAAGGAACACCTATGTGAGAATGCTGTTCATTGACTACACAACACAATAGTGCCCACAAAGCTCATCACTAAGCTAAGGACCCTGGCACTAAACACCTCCCTCTGCAACTGGATCCTGGACTTCCTAACGGGCCACCCGCAGGTGGTAAGGGTAGGCAACAACACATCTGCCACGCTGATCCTCAACACGTGGGCTCCTCAGGGATGCGTGCTTAGTCCCCTCCTGTACTCCCTGTTCACCCACGACTGCGTAGCCAAGCACGACTCCAACACCATCATTAAGTTTGCTGATGACACAACAGTGGTAGGCCTGAACACCGACAACAATGAGACAGCCTATAGGGAGGAGGTCAGAAACCTGGCAGTGTGGTGGTGCCAGGACAACAACCTCTCCCTCAACGTGAGCAAGACAAAGGAGCTGATCGTGGACTTCAGGAAGAGGAGGGCCGAACACACCCCCATTCACATCGACGGGGTTGTAGTGGAGTGGGTCGAGAGTTTCAAGTTCCTTGGTGTCCACATCAGCAACAAACTATCATGGTCCAAACACACCACGACAGTCGTGAAAAGGGCACAACAACACCTTTTCCCCCTCAGGAGACTGAAAAGATTTGGCATGGGTCCTCAGATCCTCAAAAAGTTCTACAGCTGCACCATCGAGAGCATCCTGACCGGTTGCATCACCACCTGGTATGGCAACTGCTCGGCATCCAACTGTAAGGTGCATGGTCCAGTACATCACTGGGGCCAAGCTTTCTGCCATATAGGACCTATATACTAGGAACTGTCAGAGGAAGGCCCAAACAATTGTCAAAAACTCCAGCCACCCAAGTCATGGCAAGCGGTACTGGAGCGCCAAGTCTAGGTCCAAAAGGCTCCTTAACAGCTTCTACCCCCAAGCCATAAGATTGCTGAACAATTAATAAAATGGCCACCCGGACTATTTACATAGGACCCCCCCACCCCCCTCTTTTGTTTTTACACTGCTGCTACTCGCTGTTTATTATCAATGCCTAGTCACTCTACCCCTACCTACATGTACAAATTACCTCGACTAACCTGTACCCCCGCACATTATTTTCTATTTCTTGAAATGCATTGTTGGTTAAGGGCTCGTAAGTAAGAATTTCACAAGGTCTACACCTGTGTAGAAATGTGACAAATACAATTTGATTTGAACTATTTCCGGGTTTTATGGGTATTATGACTCATACTGTGGTAATCAATGCTAACCGCACAACCATACTTTTATGTGAAGTAAATTGAGTATATAGTATGCTTATTGGGTATGCCAAAAGTTCCCGGATGTCATACTACATTCGCTAAAATACGAAGTATACAAGCAGTGGACACTATTTCCGTATTTTTTAGGGCCGATAATGCAATTCTTCAGAAAATGGGCGTGGCTTCACAACGTTTTCAGATTAGAAGAAAATGGCGGAAAATATGCAGCTGAAGTCCGACGAGAGCGGATACAAATTCATTACTTTAATTTTGACAAATGTTAAGCAATGTAATAAAGTAATGACCTTTCAAATAAGTTACACGTTATGTTGGCTGACAATTTGTTAGTTACGCTATCCTTACGAACCGCATATCATTACAGCAGTATGTACCGGTATGTTAGCTAGCTACCTAACGTTAGTTGGCTACTAATACATCGAATTTGCCAGTATGTTAACTATACGCTATCTAACTACCCAACGTTTATTTACTTGATTATTCACGTCATTCTTAGTTTAGCTAAATGCGTTCTCAATGGACATTGTTAATTCGGGTGCGTTGGTAAATTCGCTCTGGCTATCTACTCCCGATTTCACAGCACTCTCGTCTTGAATTTACGAACGCTCAACACCCGTTGAATATGGCTGGTGTCAGTAAAGGTCGGCAAAAAAAAGCGTAATTAAATTGTCGCCAACAGCACAGTTAGTCCCCAACGCTCTGAATAACATGAAAACAGCCTAACCAGCTATGCTAGAACGAGTACAATGGTCAGAGTGAGGTGTTCTCTCATTTGTGTCTGGAAGTAGCTAGCAAGCTAGCCAACTTTAGACAGTTAGCTTGGGTGCTTGACTGCAGTTATGAGGTCAGAACGCTCGGATCAGCCCTACTCCTCCGCCAGAGCGCGCTCTGAATTTACGAACGAAGTTGTGAAATGTCTAGCTAGTAATTTGTTACGCTAGCAAGTGGTTGCATAGCAACAGCATCAACTTCCGGTAGACAGGCGAAGCGCTAGTATGCTCAACTGAAAGGATACCGTTCGTTTACAGTATACTAAAATTATCTTATTGTATATAGTCATTAAGTATGTTAGTATGGGTATTCGAACACAGCTAAGATAAAAATAAAAAAAAAAGCAAGGCACTTAACCCTAATTGTTCCAGGGGCGCTGTACTTAACCCTATTGCCCCAGGGGGCTGTACAATGGCGACCCTGGCAGTGACCCCACTCCCTGTGGGTGTTTCAGAGGAAGTTGGGATATGCAAAAATACAGATTTCAAGTACACACTTTTGTGTAACAGTAAAAATACAAGCACACCTCAAATTATTATTATTATTATTATTATTATTATTATTATTATTATTATTATTATTATTATTCCCTCTGTAGCTACTCCAATCCAACATGGCTAGAAGGAATCCTGTTTTTGTCAAATTAACGTCAGACTTTACTTTTCGTAGCAGGGTAGGATAATTTACGCAGCAGGTTAGAATAATTAACGTAGCACGTTAGGATAATTAGGTTAACGTTAGAAAAAGGGTTAGGGTTAGCTAAAATTTAAAACGTTTCTACTTTTAACGTTAATTTGACAAAAGCTGGATCCTAGCCATGACCCTAGAGGCGGGACTCACCTTTCAATCACTTCCGGTTAAGCGCATGCTTCCTCTTAGGTTTAGCTAGCTAGCTAGCTAACTAACACTCCTTAAACATAATCTAAGAAAACGTTAGGAGTTCATAGCTAGAACACTTTACTTCCATTATTTATATTTTTCATCATCTGAACGTGTGACGGTCGAAGAAAACATGAATATTCGCAACGCAAGGGTAAGTGGGCAACACTGTCGACCATGCAACACTGTGCTAGCTTGCCATCTAAGCTAACTAGCTAGCTAGCCACCCATCGCTAATAATAACAATCCAAGGGTTTGTGATAACTCCACGTTTGCTTGTCAAGTCAAACTGTGAGCCTGCTAGCCTATTTAGCTAGCTACTATGGAACTAGATTGCTTCTATGGTAACTATCAACAAAGTAAACAAGAGAAGTGCCACTTGAAGTGTAACTTGCTATAGTCAATAGTGATATTTTGATTTAATCTTTCCCCAGTCCAGACATGACATCTCTTCCTGTTGTCCCTTTTCTGAAGTGTAGTAGGTAACTAACGTTAGTGCCATTGTTTCAGTCAGTGTCCAGACCATTGATATGACATTTCTTGTTCTGTTTCCTCAGCCGGAGGACCTTATGAACATGCAGCACTGCAACCTGCTGTGTCTCCCAGAGAACTACCAGATGAAATACTACTTCTACCATGGACTGTCCTGGCCACAGGTTATCATGGCTTCTTCTTCAGCAGACATTTCCATCACCACTTGACTCAAGTGTTTGTTCTGGCATTCAATCAGTCACACATTTAATCTAACTCATCAAAAGGAATGACAAGTGTTAGATGTAGGCCTAGTTGTTACTAGATGTCTGTGTAACTCAGTGTATCTATCTCTAACATCACCTCCTCTTTGTTCATCTTTCAGCTCTCCTACATCGCAGAGGATGAGAATGGCAAAATAGTGGGATATGTTTTGGCCAAGATGTGAGTATACCTGAACTACAGATCTTATCTCATGCCATTGTTTGTCAGTGTCTATCAAGCCCTCACTCTTAATGTGGTATGCAGGGAGGAGGATCCAGATGATGTCCCCCATGGTCACATCACATCCCTGGTGAGTCTTGATTCTGTACTGTTCATTGTAGTACTTTATTGAATCAATATGGGAGAGGCAGTAGACTATGGAGGAGCTTGCAGAAGAAGGGGGTGACCTATCATCTGCAGGTTGTTGAGTAACAGGAAGGATTATTAGCAACTGTTTGGATTGTCTCTGTCTCTCAGGCTGTCAAGCGCTCTCACAGGCGTTTGGGTCTAGCTCAGAAGCTGATGGACCAAGCCAGCCGAGCTATGATTGAAAACTTCAACGCCAAATATGTCTCACTTCATGTCCGGAAAAGGTAGTGCAGTGTGCTGGATGTCTGTGTTGGACTTCAATGAGATTGTTCTATTTCTAGTCATTTTTATATGGCTCCTAGATAAGAATTTCCAGATGAGTTGTTGTGAATACATAATCACTCTTCTGTTCTCTAGAAGTACAGACAAAATATAATTTGAATACAGAGAGACACTGTTCGTTTTAGATCATTCTTAATGTGAATTGTTTTGTCCTTTTGAATGGTATCTGTATTTGTCTGTTCACAAATAACTTGAATTGCATCCATCTAATTTTCTCCTACTGCAGTAACCGAGCGGCCTTGCACCTGTACTCAAACACACTGAAATTCCAGTAAGATCTCCTTCTATCCTTGTGAAAACAAACCCTCTTAAAGCAAATGCTTATGTCGATGTTGCATGTCAGCCTCCTATTCAAAGGGATGTTTATTCAGGAACTGTGGAGTCCTATTTGCTAATGATATTCTTTGCAGCCGAATTCAAATTCATTTATTTTTGCCCTTATTTAACCAGGTATTGTTTGCAGTGATACAATCACAAACAATGTATCATGTGTTGTTGGTCCTATTCCCCAATCACTCACATATTAATCATTTCCTTTCTCTTTCATAGGATTAGCGAAATAGAGCCCAAGTATTATGCAGATGGGGAGGATGCCTATGCCATGAAGAGAGACCTAGCCCACATGGCTGATGAGGTGATTTTCTACTCTTTCCATTTATCCAGCAGCCACCTTCGACTCACCCAGTGTTTTGCATACAGTTCCTTTGATCCGATTCTTTACCCTTTTCCCGAAGGGTGCATCCTACACTCACCCCTCATGAATTTAAAAGGAATAGACTGGTGTGAGCAGTATGGTGCAAACTCCCTTCCGCCATACTTTCTTTTAAATGCATGAACTGGAGTGAACAAGTGCACACTTCTGGATGAAGGGTAGAGATTCGGAACGCAGACTTAAGACACTCTTTACCTGAGGGTTAAGGTCGACCTTTCCTTTTTGTCAGCTGAATTTTGACAGTTTGTGTCTGTTGTTTCTGTCTATGGGTCCCACAGTTGAGGAAGCCAGGAATGAAGGCACTGGGTCAGGAGGCACCTACCACTACGACCACACCCGGTGACCAGGAGAAAGAGGGCGAGGGGGACAGCGGAGGAGAGAACAAAGACCTCAGTGAAGTTAGTGAGGCCACAGAGAGCACAGACGTCAAAGATTCATCCTCCGATTCACAATGACTCAGCCATCTTTAGTAGCCATTTTTAAATTTGCCATCAAAGTTACTTACTACACTTTTTATCTCACAGAAAGGGAAAAATTATACCCAGTGGTCGGTCAGCTTCTCCATTCACCTGTTACTTTTACAGCGTACACAGTAAAATATATTTTTTCCAGAATTCTCTTCTCGACATTAGTGACACAATATGACTGAGAATTTTGGTTGAAATAAATGCTTTTGCAACTGGAATGAAAAGTTGATGTTGAGCTCAAATTCGCAACTGTTTCCATAAAGGTTGTATTGGGCTTGATGTTGTCTCTACTACTGATTTCAACCCCCCCACTAACCTATGAAATCAACACATTTTGAAAACATAAACTCTGTTTTTGGGTGTGACTTAATCAGGTCTGTTAAGTATTCTTCAAAATGCTCAAAATAAAAGTTTCAAGTAATACTTTTTGTAGTGGCATTCTTTTTTTCTAGATTTGAAATTGCAACTATTCAAGGTTGAAATTCTAAGAATGACCACTATGGAGCACTATTGTGCATATAATTAATACAACGCTTAGAGTAGTGAGACTTTACAACTAGTAGTAAGACTAGGGTCATATTCAGACCAGGGTTTCAGTTAGCCGGCAATTGCTGGCTTTTGGCCGATTAAAAAAATAAAAATTAGGCAGTATGCATTTTGAAAACATACTTAATTGTTTGAAACCTGAATATTTATTTCATATTATGAGGCATTTCTTTCCTTGCTTCAAAGTAGCCTATAGGCAAAATCCGACCATGGAAACGTGGAGGCAATTATTTTATAGACTCCATAGGTAGCACATGAGTTTCAAGTTTGGGGAAGCTTACAATTGCTCATCGTACCATTTCTACCGTTCTGCCGGCAATTTATGATTTTCATATGCACATTTTCGTAGAACAGTTTCATTTCAATAATGTTTTCGTTTCTCAATCATTGTCATGTTAAAAATCTGAATGAAAAGGATTTTAAAAAATGGACACATGCTCATTACTCACATGGAGCACTCCAAACAAAAGACAATGAAACAAATAGACAAATCTCGTAAATGGTAGTTATGAAATAAACCAAAACTTGTTTCTCACATGTGTAGCAGGTTGTGAACTCTGCAAACAACGTTTCCTCTCTGAGAATGAGAACATTAAATGACTGTAATTAATACATGCATTAACAGAGCTGGCCCCGTGTAGCTCAGTTGGTAGAGCCTGGCGTTTGCAATGCCTGGGTTGTGGGTTTGATTCCCAAGGGGGGCCAGTATGAAAAATGTATGCACTCACTAACTGTAAGTCGCTCTGGATAAGAGCGTCTGCTAAATGACTAAAATGTAAATGTACTGTATGTAACCAAATGACCGGGATTAACGGTACACTTACTACTGGTGACTTATGTAATGGAGAATTGGTACAAATAAATAAAATAAAAGGGTAAACAATTCACACAATTAAACAATGAATGTGCAAGAATTGGCGGGAGACAGCTGAGCCATTCTGGAGAGACACTCCTATATCTTCACCACACACTCCTCTCCTTGTCGCAACATTTTAAATTATTATTCATGGTTGGCAAGGGAAGCTAGACTTTCCCAAAAAAATGACCAAGAAAAAAACATAAAATAATGTATCTTTCCTCTCTCTGTTTCCCTTCAATTCGCAAGAGGCTGAATGCGTCTCATCTGATAAAGCATCCGAGCGAGCGAAACAGCACCCCTCTGTCTCTGTATGTGTAGCCAACCTGATTGATGCTGTCTAGTCAAAAAGAGTATGACATTGTTGCCGCCCGTAGCAGACCTTCATCAAAAAATAAAGACAGGAGGATGGCATTGGTGTTTCTCTAGATGCAGGCCTCGGGTGAGTTCAACATTGTTTTTCTACTTGCACACACACACACTCACACTCAGACAGACAGAAATCACAACCATGGACAGCCACAACATATTTAGCTTATGTTGATTGGACTATATTGTTTTTGCTATCTTTTAGTTTTCACGGTATTAGACTATGCATAGGTGATTTGATCATGTTGAAGTTGAAATGGTGCTGGAATAGTGGAGGCAGCTCCTGTTTTCTTTGCGACTTGCAGTAACTGTACGTGGTTCTAAGTCAATAGTTGTTTAGTAGTCCGAAAATGTCGGAAACATTAACTTGCTTGACCATGCTTTAGGTCATGTCACTGTTTGTTACATGCAAAATGCTTTGTAGACTTCACCGGACAGAGGTGGCTCTCTGGTTTTGTGATGAAACAAAGGTGTGATTGAATTTATAATGCCACTCTGTCTTCTTATTGTCTCGGCCTTTAGGCCTATATATCACGGTCGCAAGGCATATGAACTAACAGGTTATTGAGCAAACAATGCTATTATCACAACACATAGGTTGTAATATGGCTTTTTTTTCTGGCTTTCCTGGTGATTTTACCCATGCACCACTACTGATAGGCCTATAAGCTTGTGATTTGAAACAATCCACAGCACAAAGTAATGATCCTCAATTTCTCTTGCTAAGTCATGCTTTCTGGTGAAGCTTTTTTAATGATTTTATTTATTTATGTATAGATAGGAGTAATTATATAATTTTGGCAAATGTATTTCCATTTACTTCCCTATTGGACCCACAGCTATGCCATTTCTCTCCTGTTTTATTGGTTTTCATATCAACTTTCTTTTGTTTTCCAGAAGCCAAACGCACAGTCCTAGTCATATTAGCAACCCATCCTAGTTGTTGCATCTTTAGATTCCCCCTCTTCCTAAATTTCTAACAGAGATTTTCATCTCTGTCACATATGGAACTGCGCTATCAGGTGCACTTTTTAGAATGGCGTTTTCCTAGGTGTACTGTTTAGAATGGTGTTTTCCTGCAAATTGCATTTTGGCAAAGGTTTGAAAATGGTCTGCTTCATTACATTTAGCTGACGCTCTTATCCAGAGCAACTTACAGTTAGTGAGAGCATTCATTATTATTTTAAATTTTTTCATACTGGCCCCACATGGGAATCGAACCCACAACCATGCTGAGCTACATCCCTGCCGGCCATTCCCTCCCCTACCCTGGGCCAATTGTGCGCCGCCCCATGGGTCTCCCGGTCGCGGCCGGCTACGACAGAGCCTGGATTCGAACCAGGATCTCTAGTGGCACAGCTAGCACTGCGACCACTCGGGAGACCTTAGGGGCGATGAGTTGGATGTTCTGTTAAAATGCATTACCATAATCTAAATGTGATTTCTGTCATTCTGATCACTGTGGGTGGACGCCCTAATGGGTTATGCATATGACCCAGGCAAAAATGTATGTTGTACACATTTCTATCTGAATTTTCTGTAATGTTGCTCCCTTCTAAATGAGCCCCTGAGCCAGTAGCTCTGTACCTGTCTTCATTACAACTGACCACACAGACTGATGGATACCATGGCAACATCATTATCATCATTAGAAGAATTGACCTCACAGGCTGGACTGATACCATGGTAACACACACCGAACACTGTTGTATTTAGCCTGCCTTGTGGCACCATCTCTCTCACATTCTACAAGGTGTTGAAGTACAACAACATGCTGTCTTCCACAGGATGCCCAGAAATAAATTTGAACAACATATATATTTTCTATGAAAACTGGTAAAAGTATAAGACTCTCTACTCTCTTTCATGGAAATAAAAAGCATTTTGAGTGTCATTTATGGAATTGTGCACAAAAGCAAAATGTTGTTTAATTTAGTGTAGCTTACAGTTTTAGAATGAAACTCTAAAGAAGGATACACTTCTTGAGAAAGTGGAAGGAAAAAAACATAGCAATGCGTCAACATTTAAACCAAATTTAGATAAGTTAGAAGCCACTTTAGGTTAACAGTCAGCTATTTAATGTCCCCTAGTTGGGAGGGAGGGAAGTAAATACACAGGAAGTTAGAAGTGAGAGAGAAGAGTGTTTGACAGTTCTCTGCTCGTATAGCAATATTTTAGACATTCAGTGAAACTCTTGTCTTCTCTTAACCACAAGCAGATAGTTCTGTTTTCACACATTATATGGAACCTTGCAAAGGCATGACAACACTGCCACTTCACTCTGCACCTTTGTTTCTGGTAAACAATATTAGCTATAAGAGCAAACAAACTACCGCTTTCTAGTCATGTATAATAACGTTCAGTAAGATTATATGAATGTGTTTTGTCATGACATGGTGTGTGGATTTGGCACCACCATTTTAGGATGTGTTACACAATTAAGTACAATACTCTCATCAAGTATATTACTTACTCAGAGTAATTGATCGGTGGTAAGACTTAATACGGGAATTATAGATGGCAGCACTTACTCTTACTCAGCCTATGTGTATTACTACTTTGCACATGAACTCATAGGGGAGAGGGGATGGATGAGGAGGGAGGGGAGAAGAGGGGGATAATGAGGAAGAGTGTGTGTGGCTTGAATTAGAAGCTTTCGCTCTCCACTACTCTTTCACAAGCTGGCACAGGATGTCTCAGAGAGTGTGTCAGGGGGCAACAGAACAGTGTGTGTGTGTGTGTGTGTGTGTGTGTGTGTGTGTGTGTGTGTGTGTGTGTGTGTGTGTGTGTGTGTGTGTGTGTGTGTGTGTGTGTGTGTGTGTGTGTGTGTGTGTGTGTGTGTGTGTGTGTGTGTGTGTGTGTGTGTGTGTGTGTGTGTGTGTGTGTGTGTGTGTGTGTGTGTGTGTAAGTGACAGAGAGAGAGAGCACCCAGGTTTATGTGTTTAATGTAAGGAGGAGGAGGAAGAGAGAAGTTATCTTTGGGAGATAAATGTTACTCACCGTGGAAAAGAAGAGTATTAAAAATAATCTCTGGTAAGAATCTAATTTTCATAACAGAATAACTAGGACATTCATTTCCCAATTTGTGAGGTTACTTTTTCTCAACTTCCTGTCAATGTGGTTTCTTTGCTGTTTGACAGTTATAAATACAGTAAATCTTAATGTGTATCTCACCCCACTATGACTTTTATGTGTGGTTGTGGCTGGACCATAAACT